TTAAATTTTAAATTAATTAAATAATTAATTAATTAAATGAAATAGAAGAAAAATATATATATCATCTAATTTTAAAATTTTATACATAAGAACGAAAATACAGTATATTTACGCATAAAATTATAAAAAACAAATTTTATCAAAATTACCAATAATTTATTATTTTACCGCAATTTTACCGTAAGTAATTATAAGATTGAATTTTACGTTTTATTTTTGCATCTCTAATATCGACTAAGATACATAATAATATATATATATATATTGGAAAAATAATCAAAATTTTATTTTATTTTATTGGAAAAAAATTGTTTAGTATGAATTACTTATTAAAGTGCGCATGAATAAAATTAAAAACAAAATTTTTTTAACATTGTTCCAATAAAATCAGGTTTGAAAGAATTAATAATTTTTTATATACTTGCAAAAATGATGAAAATGAATCCGGAGGAAAACAAATGATCCATCGCGTTTATAGTAAAGAAATGGAAAATCATCGTATATACAAAGGGTTAAACTCGTCATCTCAATTTCTCTGTGATCGCTGGATCAAAACAGAAAGGAACGGAAACGCTGTGTCATCGCTTTGTCGAATGCAGTGAGGGAGAATAATCGCAACGATATGGAAAGAATCGGGCTCAAATCCCGGACGTCGGAAGGCCATCGGAACTTGCCGCCCATCGGTTATGGCCATTTAGAAGGGGCAAGCAAATCTAATTTTTGCTCATTTCCAGCACTTAGCCTCTCAGCTTTACAGTGCGAGCGTCGGTAGGTCGGCGTCAAAGTAAACCATCGTGCGGCCTCGCAAGGTCACGACCCGGCAGGCAGGCCTTACTCGGAAAGTTTGCGGACTTGCGTGCGAATGCTACAGTTGGTGGAGATAATGCGATTCCCACTTGTACGCGCGCGTTCTTGCACGTTCATCGTCGGGACGAGGAAGTAGGGGCAAGGACTTGGAATACCCACGTATCTGAATACCAGGTATTATCCGAGATTTCGAGAATTGAACACGGGAATGATACTCAAAATAATCAGATAAACGTGAATAGCACGAACAAATTACAAAGTGACGTTTGAAATGTCACATCATTTAATTATCCACAATTTTCAGGCTTTTGGTAATTAATGAATTGTCTCTATACTAGCTCTGTATCAGATTTGTTAAAATTAAATGCTTATTATTAATCATATATATACAGTGTGTATATATAATTGTTTAATGTATATAATATATATAGAAATGAATTGATATAACATAAATTAATACAAATAAAAAAATATATAAATAATTATATTTAAACCATGACACATTTTATGCGCCATCCTATACATATTGACAAATTTATTTATTTTGTAGCAAGAAATAAGTCTATTTTAAGAATAAGACTATTTTAACGGTTTCCGTCGAATGTTCTTGATTCAATGCACACGCATTAATCAAATCCAATTTACATATCCAACAACGTCAAATATTCATAGACTTCGCAGAGAATATATTTAAGCTATTAATTCATACGCAATGTAAATTACAACGACGGCAGAGGAAGAACACGATGTATCTTGAGAACCATACATTCTACCAATTACCGTTAAAAGCGTAAATGGAAGCAGAGGTACCACTGATAATGGACCAACATTTTCAACGCGAATGTACACCGGAATCCCCCGCAGACTCGTGAGCCACGATCGCTTGGGAATCGCAGAATTGTACCGAAGAATTTCTGTCACTGCCCACGTACACCCCCATTTCTATCGTCGTAAAACAATATAATGTTAAGTGCATCGCAGTAGATCATCTGAGATGAGTAGTTGTGCTGTAGGAATTTTCTCTTTGTGACTATCGCCTTGTTCTAAGGATCATTTCGATAAATCGAGTATCGCATTAAATCACGTGCAACATTAGAAACGATTATTTAACACGGCATTATTAATGTTTATTTTTATTAATGCAGATTAACTTTAATTTTGGTTTAATTCATTTTTTTTTTAATTTTTAGAAATTGAAAAAAAAGATGAAACCTAAGTTTAATCACATTGATCTATATTTGGCAAAAATGTGGACAAAGTATGATAAAGTTTTGTAATAATAACCTTAAATAATTATATAGAAAAAAATCAAAATTGATTGTTAAATGTCAAAATTGTTTGCAGCATTATTCATCATGTTTGAGTTTCCCATATATTTCTAACAAAATTATTTTCTCTATTTAGTTAAATTCTTAGATACTTCAATAAAATCGTATGGGTCATCCAAATTTAATGCACATTTTTATATTGTTTCGGACTGTACAAAAATGTGAAAAAATTCTTATATAAAATTGTAAAAGTTTTAACAACGAGCTTCTACTATCATAGATCATTGGATTGTCTTTTATTTATTTTGTACAGATTTAAGTTTATCAAAATTTACAATACAAAAATCGACTCTGTGCCTTTAACTTTACATTGAAAAAATACTAAATTTTAATAAATATTTATTTATAAGTTCTACGTAAATATTTATCAAAAGTAAACATATTTATTTAATACAAAAATCACTACAACTATTTGATACAAAATCAGCACCTAAAAAACACTAAATTTTTTACCTATTCCGAACTTAATTTTCAATAGTGGGGGGATCCGGCTTAGACGTACAATAATCATTTATATATCATTTTTTTATATTGAGTAAATATTTATTTGAGAAAATATCCGAAAATCCACTGGACTCTCGAATACCGATTGTGGTCCACCAAATATTCAATATTGTCAACGGAGAAATAATATTTTTTTCATAATTCCTTGTGTATATCATAATAAAAATTTTTTTTCATTTTCTATCACACCAGTCTCACACATATATTAGGTGTTGGAATTAATTCGTAGCGTTTTACAAGTGATGGGAAGTACTTTCATTAATGTATTTTTTAATGCTCATGTGAAATAAATAACATTCTTTCATTAAAAACGCTACGAATTAATTCCAACACCTAATAATTTTGGTTCAAATTAAATTCAAGGTACTAAAAAAAAATTTCACGTTATTACGACTCAGGCTCTCAGATTAACGAATTTAACGAGTCTCATCATACAATTAACAAACATATTTTTATCTAGATAATGAAAACGAGTTAAGAGAGCTTATTTATGTCTGTTTCGTGACTGTGCCTACGCAATGGCGAGACAACATTCGCGCGCATCCTCTCTCCGTTTGTCGATTAGCCATGAACTCGGCTGATTTTTTTCCGAAGCGCGGCATGTCATATTATTCGCGAGGGGAAAAGGCAGCCTCCGACAGCCTTCCGTACGATTTCACCGATATCGGATCCCCGTTCGGGAACAGTCGGGGCTAAAGGTCGCGGCTGCTGTGTACATGGAAAATGTTTCGTGGACAAAGCGGAATATCGATTAGCATTAATTGAAAACTCCCAGTCTCACAAAAATAAAGGCACTCGTGCAAAGAAAGGGCTCTTAAAAAAGAGTGTTAAAAAATATTTCTGTACGTGACATTTTTGATGGGATAAGAACATATAAAAGAATAAAGTAAGTAAAAGCAGGTAAAAAGATAGAGTATATAAATAAAAGGATATGAATTTTAGTTTGTATTTCCTGGAACGTCACTCGTATCATGACTTCAATGCATATCATCGGTACACCGACATATTTGTTGTTCCGACGTGGAGTAGTAAAGGCTTCCGCATGCAAAGTGTATAAAGGAATGTCAATAAAGGATCGCGTTACGAGAAATAATAAGTGGTTTCTCAAGATGCCTTCGAGAGAGACTCGAGCTCTTGTTTCACAAATATTATCGCGAATATCAAAGAATGTATCGAGTGCACCCATGTGCCTCAAGTTATAAATTTGCTTTCAAACATTATGTCTTCGTTGCGTTAAAGAAATTCGCGTTGAACTATGTAGTTACAAAAGTAAAGATTTCCATGCATCAAGTTGTCGGTACGCAACAGTGACATTTAATTTATTTCTTTAAAAACTTTAGATGGAAACAAATCTAAATCCAATTCTGTTAAGTTCAAAATAGAATTTTCTCTAGTTTCGGAAAAAAAATTCGAAGAAAGATTTTGGATCGCAGTAAATTTTTTAATCGCACTTTTTTAACGCATGCGATTTATAGTGATTGCAATTCCATTGTTTGTCTGATCATCTGATTTTCGCGAATCCCGCGCTTCGCATTTAGCAGCAGCGAAATATCGTGGTTTAATTCCGAAATATCGGTTTCTGGGACACGACGATAAATTGTAAGCCTTTCATTTGCGCGATATGTATACGTTTATTTATCTTTACAGACTATAAATCTTATTTGTAAAATTGTTTTCATATATTGTCCATAGAAAATTTGCAAGCGTATAATGTTTATTAAAAGGAGCAAACACGTTTGATACACAGGTAAAATAATTAATCACGACAGAGATAAAAACGGTTTCGGTAATATTGGTTTTTTGCATATTTGAATAACTCCTTTTTAATACAAATCGATTTCTCTTGTCATTCTGCGTAAAAAAATATTAAAATAAAGGCGCAAAGTGAATGTTTTCGAGATATTTCACATCAAAATACATAAAAACAGATACAAGAGATATATTTATTCCGACATATGTAGAATATTTAAAAAATATTCATTTTTCGATAATCTTATTTGCTCAATTCTCAATTCTCTATTTGCAAAATGAGAAGTGATTTATGGAAACAAATTTTATAGATTTTATAGAAAATATATTCTATTCTTAATAAAGTTAATATTTTAACGTTAAGCATTTTTTAACTCTCTTATTCCCCTTAATCTGAAATTTTGATCTATTTAATCCTAATTGGTATTCGCTCCAAAATTTCTTCAACTGATATTCGCCGGACCACTTTAAATTAATGTACCTTTGCTCTTAAAGTTAACATAATTGAATCATATTTCTTTCATTAAAAAAATTAAAATCTGATAAGATCATGGAACTTAAAATTATTATAAGGTTGTGAAAAATAATTGTTATAAATAATTCACAACGTAATCGAAGAAGAAACGTTTACTCGATTCGCCGGTACCGATTAGACTCAATTGAATACTCGGTAATTGGAAGAGTAACCACATATACCACATATATTTGTTCGGGAAAATAATAGAATCGCGCGATATCTATAAATATAGAATTATTTACGTGATTGTTCACCTTGATGCCGCTGCGGCCCTGCTGCTTGAGCAAGACATTCTCCGGCTTCATGTCACAGTGTATAATCTTATTCTTGTAGAGCGCGTCGAGGCAGAGGAGCAGCGAGTGCGAGAACTTGCGCACAAGCTGGAGGCTGAAGCCCTTGAAGTTATTCTTCTTGATGAGCTCGTACAGGTTGATACTGAGGAGCTCGAACGTGATGCACATGTGGCAGCGGAAGGTGAACGAGTCGAACATGTGGATGATGTTCATGGTGTTGTCCTTGTCCTGCTCGCGCAGCTTGCGCAGTATACGTATCTCCTCGTGCGCCTGACGGTGGAAGCGCTTCTCGTTCCGTACCATCTTCAATGCCACGTGCTCGTGCGTTTTGTGATCATAGGCCTTGACCACTTGACCGAACGAGCCTTTGCCGATTACGCGGAGAACCTCGTACCGATAAGCCACGTGGTCGTGCGGCACATGAATGTACGAGCCCTGTTCGTTGTCGTACTCGTTGTTGTTTGGCCGGCCGATGATGCCCGGCCGTTTCTTCGCGTTCGCGCCGATGAAGTAGATTTGCTGGTAGTTGAAGATCTCGTGATGCTCGTACGGCGTCAGCTTGTTCATGTAAAGCTTCATTACCATCTCCGGCGTGATGGTCGCCGTTTTCGGTTTCACGCTGACAATGCTGTTGTTGCTGACACCACCGCTGCTTCCACCACCGCCGCCGCCGCTTCCGCCACCACCAACGCCTCCTCCGTTGTCACTTCCGCCACCACCGCCGCCGCCGCCGCCGCCACCGCCTCCTCCTCCTCCTCCTCCACCTCCACCGCCACCGCCTCCACCGCCACGGCCAACTCCACTGTTAGAATTGCCATCGGAACGGCCGTTTCTCACCACTGGACTGCTCGACTGGCTGTTGGGTTGCGAATGCGAATTGTGACTGAAACTATAATTCACTGGCCAGTTACTCAGGCCGTAGCTCTCGCCTTTCCACGGTAATTTCTGGTAACCCACGTAAGGCACCGACTCGTCGCCACCACCACCACCGCCGCCACCTCCACCTCCACCTCCTCCACCGCCGCCGCCGCCGCCGCCGCCGCCACCGCCTGTCTGCTTCAGGCCGGTCAACCCGGTACCCTTGATGATCGGCGGCAGGTGGTTGCTGCTCTCGCTGCTCGAGATGTACGGCTGTGTCGAGATTGCGCCCGCCTGCACGAACGGATTCGTTTTGGAGAGGGGCATCTCGATCCTGCTTGCCGCCGCCGACAGGGCCAAGCTAGTCATTGGTGTCCATTTGTTTCACGTCCGTCCTATCTGTCCTCGTCGAGGTTCGCCACCGAGAACGCGCGAGCGTATCGTCCAGTCGACGAATCCACGTGGCGCGCGATCAGCGTCTCTTCGTGTGTCCTGACAGGCGCGTGATCCTCGCGCTCACGCCGGACGCGAAGGACAGTCCGGATGTTACGGGAGACATGCTTCTCCGTTAAGACGACGATGACTTGGAGGCGAGGATCCAGGATGACTGCGCGCCGCGGACGAATGAAATTCGGACTAATGAAGCGACCGCGTCTCCTCCAGTTGAACAAACCGAAGCGAAATCGGGGAGAAGCCCTTCTCGAGAAAGGATAATTCCACTAATTGTATTATCTCCAGGAACCGCGGAAAAAAAACGACGGCCCTCGTAAATGCAGCGGACTAGAAGGGGTAGTGCACTCGCGCGCTCGGCGACGAGCAAGCTGTCTCGATCGTTGGTCGACCTATTACCTTCTTTCTTCAGGTGGTCGGTCGGTGATCCCGGGCTTGACGCGAACTCACAAATTCCGGGGCACTCGCGCACAGCGGGAGAAACTACGGAACCGCACTCTCACGACGCGCACTGTCACACCCGTGGAGCCTCCGGCGAGAATCATCGCAATCGTCGCAATCGTCGAAAACCGGCACCGCAGAAGGCGATCGCGACGTCGCCTCGAACGTCTTCTAATTTTACGATCTGTCGCGCGCGACGAGGGCGAGCGCATCATCGCCGCGCGTGGAAGCGGGGCTTAACCAAAAGTCTCCCGATTCTGTTCACTCGCTCGTGCTCTTCGTGCGGAAGGTTATTGGCACCGGGCCGCCGCCGCCGCGAGTTTGACGACTTCACCGTCGAGGCCGCGGTCGCTGTCGCCGCGTCGCCGCCACCGCCGCTGTTGCTGCTGCCGCTGCCGTTGCCGTTGCCGCCGATGTTCCATTCTTTCACCCGTCGACGGACGAAAATACTCCCCCCGGCGGGCCCCTTCACCCGGTCCCGATTCTCCGTCGATTCTCGTCGCCGATCGATTCCACCTCGCGGCGAGACGCGATTCCCGCCTCCCGATGGCCATACAAAGAACCGCCCCTCTCTCTCTCTCTCTCTCCTTTTTGCTATCTCTCTTTCTCGTTCTCTCGTTCGACGAAACACGTATCCGCGATATCGTATCCTTCAAGAGGATAACCCTTTGCCTCGAGACTACCTACGTAAACACAGACACACCGCGCGATCTCTGAAATCTCTCATCGATCACCCTCGCTCGCACTCGCGACGTGAAAGCCGATGATTGTCTACAATACAATCCTTTCTTTTCTTCCTTCTTGTTTGTTATCTTTTTTTTTTTCTTTATTATAACGAATATCCGAATGTGACCGGGTGGATCGCTCTCTTCCTCGTTCCGTTAAATCTTTCCTTTCCAAACACTTTCTCGTACTTTCTCATACACTCTTTTACATTCTGAAGTTGCTCTCTTCTTCTCTTCCCGTCGAAGAACACGCGCGCTTTTCGTTACCGGCCACGACGAGTCACGCGGGTCACCGTCGACGACGACATAACACCATGCGCGTCGTCGGTCGATTAGAGATGTCGCGGTCCGGCGCGACCGGGACGAGAACGAGTTCTCGACGTATTGACGACGGCGCGTATAAAAATCGACCCGGCCGTCTCGACGGTTGCGTGGTACGTCGTCGTCGTCGTCGAGCTTGGATATCAATCCGTTGTCGATTGGATCAGCCGTCGAGACGATGCCGTGGATCCGTTGCGAATTTCTCTGTCTCTCTCTCTTTTCCTCTCCCTCGTGAATCTCTCTGTTCCTCTCAGACGAAGCGCGGACAAAGGGAGCGCTGATCGAATTCGTCGCTTCTGACGCACTCGGCACTGACTGGCTGTCTCGTCGCTGCCGCTTCCTCTCGCAGTTCGCTCTCTCGTCACAACTCACACCGCGCGGCTCCCTTCCTCCGCCACCCTCCGTCGCCCTCTCGCACCGCCACCAAACGTCTTCTCCTCTTGTTTTTTTTTTCTTCCTTTAATCCCCTCGAGCGCGACGTCGCTCGGTGTCGGTCCCGTAGAGAGATCGCGACGATGACCGCCGTCGCACCACCGACCAACCAACCGCGGGGTTGATATCCGGCACAGGAATCACGCACGCACGCACGCAGCACACTCACTCGCGGCGAAAACGCGCGACGGTCCCCCGTGTTAATGCCCCAACGGAACTTACGGAACGGGCCGGGAGGTGAGGGAACGGGGAAAGATCACACGGCGTGGACGGATCTTTACGGTAACGCGCGGCAGCGCGACGCGTACATCGTCGTCGCTGCTTCCGGCGACTCCCCCATGGCGCTCCAACTCCTCTGGAGTTTACAAAGCGGGTGCATATATATACACGACTACACGAGACGGACAGCGATGTCGGGACTGGTCGGGATGCGACTGTCCGCACTCCGCACCGCACACCGCACGCACAGGTGTTCGCGAGCGGGGCAGAGAGGGGGCAGTCCCCCCTTCTCAGCCGGAGCTCACTTTCTTTCTTTCTTTCTCTCTCTCTCACCCCCCCTCTCTCTCTCTCTCTCTCTCTGTCACTCTGACTTTTCGACGGACCCTCGCGATCGACACGCGACGCGCCGATACGAATCTCTCCCGCGGATTTTGTTCCGTAATTCCGTTTTCTCGGAACGTTCGTCTCGAGCCCGTCTTGCTGCGAGCGTGCCGGTCGAAAAACTCTCTCTCTCTCTCTCTTTCTTTCGCGCGCTACACCGTCCGTCCCGCACGTCCACCACTCGACAAGACAACACGCCGCGGAATGTGTCGCTTCACATAGACGGTCCTACGCAGCGGCCGTCGCGCGACTCATATGATACTCCGACTGTACTGTCGGTTTATACAGAGCGGATTCCTTCCGAGGTGATTTCCCGACGGGAGGGGACGACGACGACGACGACGACGACGGGTTTACGGCGACACCGTCGACCGGCTCGCCGGGACGTCACGGAAGCATCTCGTCGATGGTGAGGCGAATCCCTGCGTGCGCACTTTCGTGCTCCATGACGGCGTTCCGTTCGCGTTGACTTCGCCGGACTCCGGAGACGATACAGGCAGATTTGCCCACTGTCGCTGAGGTCAGGAAGCGTCGTCCATCCGCGAGGGAGCGGCACTTGCCGGGCCGAGATCCGTCAGATCTATCTGCTCTACGTCACCGATTATTAATAGTTATAAAGCGTACACCGAGATAAAATTTACTACATTTTAATGTATATTTTTTTCAATACTACTTGATATTTATTAGTAAATAAATGTTTACTTGATAAAAATAAATGATTGTTAAATCAAATTAATGGTTCTTGTACCAATTGAATATAATGTTTACATTTAGTAAATATTTGATTACCCATTGTAAAGGAGAAAAAATGGATTGAAATTTTCATTCATTTAAAATCATTTGTACTTTGATAGCATTCATGGTCTATTTTTATTTTTTTAAATATTTAATTGGATTGAAAAATTGCATTTTCTATTCAAAATTTTGAATTGAACAGTATTCACAATACACTTAGAAAAATGAGGTTTTTTTTTAAGATTTGAAAGGCATGAAATGTACTTCATGCAGTTCCTATAAATGAATAAAAATGTATTGGGATTGAAAAGGATTCATTTCAATGTTTGCGAATGCGTATTTCTGAAAATCCGAATCCATTTCAATCCATTTCAATCCATTCTCGTTTACTGATAATAATATTCGAACATTCAATATTTAAATATTTATTAAAATTTAATATATTTTTTCAGTGTACGAAAATATTGCCGAATAAAGACAACTTCGTAAATAATAAAAGTATATGGAGTGTATATTAAGTTTTAATATATGTACATAAAAATATTTATTAAGTATAACTTTTTTACATAAATTTATCACAAAGTAATAATTAATTACTTATTTTTTGTATATTAAAAGCATCGTTATCCAGCGCTTTTAAAACTCAAAATAAATAATTTTCGGTATTAAATTGTTCAATATTAAATTTACGAAAGAAAAGCGTTCAGTTATGTATTTCTAAGGTTTTTTATATACTTCTTTATATAGTATTAAAAGAAAATTGTTTGCGAGCTTGCACCACGGAACTTTCTTTTCCAGACAGCACAAAATATTTATGATAAATATTTGTTAATATTCATTCTTTGAAATGTTATAGTATGTAGATATTTTATAGATATTTTATATAAAATTTTATTCGAAATATTATTAAAATATAGACTAAATATTTTATGTAATATTTATGATAAATATAAATAAATATTTCTAATAAGTGTTTTTTACTTGAATTATAATGTCTCATTAAGTATTTTCATAGCATTTACAATAAATATTTTATAATATTTATAATAAATGTTTATGATCTGTACAATCTAAGATCACAGAAATATTTACTAAATATTTAAAATAAATCTTATAAATATTTATAAATATTTTATAAATATTTTATAAATATTATGTGCTATCTGAGTTATCGAGATTCTTATGATTTGAATGTTTATATTTAAACTCCACATCATGTTCATTTCTATCACTGTAAATTAACTTTAATCTCAGTTTAATTTGTTTTCTATCTTTCTTTAGTTCTAAGGATTAAGAAAAATAAATTAAAGAATAAATTAAACTGGGATTAAAGTTCATCCACATTAAAATAAAAATTAGACCAGATTAATCCATCGATTTAGTTAATCGAATTTGCTTTGACGTTCACTTCTACTGATATAGATTATTTAATTTTGATTTAATTTATCGTTTTTCTTTTTCTGATTCTAAAATTAGGAAAAGATAAAGAATAAATCGAGATTAAAGTTAATCTACATTGGAATGAATTACAAATAATTTAAAATTATTACCAGATTTAGAATGTCCTACATCACAAAAGAAATTGTTCATTTGAACTAAATTAATTTAGTTTGTCTTTATTTCTTTCATTGGAAAATATGTATTTAAGTCAAATATAATGTTTGAATATATTTTTCAAAAGAAATAAAGACAAATTGAATTAATTCAGTCAAACAATTTTTTTCTCATTATATTTACAATTTTATTAGCGTGTAAAATAAAGTATCAAGCCAATCGCAGATATGAAATATAAATTAAAATACACGTGTATTAAAAATATACTTGTTAAAAATAGACAGCATACATAATTATATAAGTGGAAATAATGGAATCTCAGATTCTCTGGGTAGAAATCCGATGCGATTTTCTACGATGCGAGGTCTGTTCTTCTTAGCTGAATTTCACAGTTTAGCCTTCCTCTTTTTCTCTTCAATGTGAAAAGAAAAAGAGAAAAAATAAATGCAAAAATTTCAGTTAAAAACAAGTTTGAAAAGATCGTGTAAAGTTAACCTTGAACATTATATCACTTTTTATTTTAAACTTAATTAAGCGAATATTTAACATACTTCTTTAAGAAAAGATATTCAGAAAATATTTTTAGAATAAAAATATCAATGTAGCCGTTTTTGGTGTGAATTTTAATTCGCATTCGAATTGTCGTTCAAATCAATTAAATATATAATTTCATTAAAATTGCACCAATTCGGTTCGATCAAAGAAACTAGTGCTATTTCGCACGTTTCTTACATTCTTTCATGTATTTAAAAGACCGAGATAGATTCGTATTCGAAAGGGAGAAGGAAGGGATGATGAACGAGGATGTCAAGAATACGTATGTATATACGTATACAATACGTATATACTCGTTGGAAATGTGCTCATATGCTCGCCATATGATTCTTAAGTGCATGTGCGCATTCGGAAATCTGCGCAACCGATCAGGTGATTGTTTCAGCATACTCGTGCTTATGCACGACTACTTTAGGCGCCTTTAAATTTCTTTCTCCTACGATTTCCTTCTACAAATTTTGATGATTCAGGAAAAAATGTTTTATGTATAATTATAGAAAATTATATACAATTATATATAAATAAGAATTTTATGTATAAATAGACATATTTTATGTATAATTATGTATAATTCT